TTCCACAAAAAAAAAAAAAAGTATTTGCCTGTGTGGAACTGGGGATTGAACTCAGGCCCTTGCGCCTGCCTGTTCTACGCTTACTCTACTGAGCTACCTCCCCAGCCCCTTGCAATCAGTTTAGCATGCAGTACTTACACAGCAGTCTGCCTCCCAAGATAATGGCTAAGCTAAAAATCTTAATAGTTGGAGGGGATTCCAGAAGTCATCAATCTCTAAAGATTAACAATTTCTAGCATTGATGTTTATTTTACAAATATTTGTTTCTTTACTGTGATTTTTAATGCACTTTGCAGCTAATTCTTCTTCTGTTTAATCCTACTGTCCCTTTCCCTTAATTAGTTTTAAATTAATACCTAATCTCCTAACCAAGTATAGGAATCTCTATCTACACTAACCCCAATTTCACCCACCTTCTACCCGCTTTTATAGTCTTCACTGTCATCGTCATCTTCTCCTTCTTTTTTTTTCCCTGTCTTTTTAAGACAAGGTCTGGCTAGGCAGTTCAGGCTGGCCTTGAGCTCGCTTTGTAGCCCAGGCTGGTCTGGAACTTTGCAATGCTCTTCCTGCCTCAGCCTCGCTAGCGATGCGAGTGGAGGCGCGTGTCATCATGCCTGGCCTATATTCTTTATAAGGTAGCCAGGTCCCACATTCTATTTTTTGTTTTTGTTTTTTATATATTTGGTACAAGATCTCACTATGCAGCTTGGACTCATAGTGATCCTCCTGTCTTCAGCCTCCCCAATGCTGGGATTACAGGCGTGTACCACCAAGCTCAGACTCTTGGGCTCAGCTTGCCGCAGGGGTGGGGTGAGCATGGCATGTGGTCCTGGTTCCTGTGCTTGCCAAAGCAGGCCCTTGGTCCACTGAGCTGTTACCCCACTTAACATTTTTAAGAAATATTTCTTTTTTTTTTAAAATTTTTATTTATTTATTTATGTGTGTGTGTGTGTGTGTGTGTGTGTGTGTGTGTGTGTGTGGCCAGCTCAGCCCACCAGGGGGCGGGGCTGGCTGGCATGTGGTGCTGGGGGATTGAACCGCGGTCTCTGTGTGCTTTGCTAAGCTTGTTCTAAGTAGGTGCTTTAGACCACTGAGCCATCTCACCAGCCCCAAGAAATATTTCTTTATGTGGAGGAAAACATCACTCTTGTCAACCTTTACTGTTTTGAAACTATACAAAATTAAACCAAATCTATATATAAGTCCATTCATAAAAATCTTGAAAACCTATTGTTTGAATAGGTACTGAGGTATGTATTTTAAGAAAGAGACAAGGGAAGAACAGTGTAGTGGTTTTCTGTATAGATGTCATACACAAGATTTCTGGATTTTATTTTCTTTAAAAACTAAATATGATTTCTTTAATCTTCTGGTGCTCACATTCTTTGCCAATGGCTAAAAATAATGTACAGTCACTTTATCGTGAACTTCTTTTTTAAAAATTTTATTTTATTTATGTGTGTGTGTGTGGCCAGCTCAGCCCACCAGGGGGCAGGGCTGGCTGGCATGTGGTGCTGGGGGATTGAACCACGGTCCCTGTGCTTTGCTAAGCTTGTTCTAAGTAGGTGCTTTAGACCACTGAGCCATCTCACCAGCCCTATTGTGAACTTCTTAATATATTCTATAATATTTACAGGACATCAAAAAGAATTTATTAATGTTAATAAAAAATATCTATTTGAAGGAAGAGCAGAACAGAAAAAGAGAAAAATGACTTGCAAAAAACTAAGCATTGGGGCTGGTGAGATGGCTCAGTGGTCTAAAGCACCTACTTGGAACAAGCTTGGCAAAGCACAGGGACCGCGGTTCAATCCCCCAGCACCCCATGCCAGCCAGCCCCGCCCCCTGGTGGGCTGAGCTGGCCGCGCACACACACACACACACACACACACACAAAAAAAAAACTAAGCATTCACAACTGAGAAAGAGTTCAGTATTCTTAAACAAGCGTCAGTAATCAAAGGTGTCTACTAGTAATTCATCAGAATGTGGGCTTCTCAAGGGCAATAAGCTAAAACCTGAGACATAGGGTACTTTGAACATGGTATTTTTAAAACTCAGCAGCAGCATCTCAGCATGAACACATGAATGGGGACTCACTCTCAAGGTTAACATCATTCAGGACTCCACACAGTCAGTTTGATGTGGGAGGGATGAAGTCAACAAGGACTCTCTCCTTCCCTTCATCTCCTTTTTTATTTTGGTAGAACCAGGGATTGAACTCAGACCCTTGCACTTGCCAGGGAAGTGCTTATTCTACTGAGCCATCTCCCCGGCCCCTCCCTTCATCTCCTTTAAACCACGTAATTTCCATTAAGTTTGCTTGCTAAAAGTCCAGCCTCAGATGGACCCGGGGAATGGAAAATATGTCCTGAATGCTGAATGCTGCTTCTGTAAGGCACCTTTCACTGAGGTAACTGCCACAGTAAACAGCAAGAACTCAGCTCATATCCTACTCATTGCTGCCCTCTAGAAGGTTCTGCATGATTTACAGCAGGCTATAATCCTTGTAGAATAACCAACTTTCCCTTTCTTCTCGCAAAGGCCGACAACTGGCAAAAGAGCACAGATCAAAAACAACTTAGTAGATGCTTCTGATCATCTCTGATTGTCATTTTCCCCTTTGATTTGGTGAACTCTCCCACTCAACATAACAGATCCCAATATTCTAGTATCTGAGGAACCAAAAGAAGTTAGAGAGGTAGCATCTCCCAGTCTCAACCCACACATCTTTCCATTCTTAGTCAAAGAATATTACTCAGAAAGTTATGACTTTCTGAAATATTTCTCTTACTGACTGACAAGTACCAGAGACAACAGGGCTAGTCCAGTTGGTTCGGAGAAAATCAAGATCCTAGACATGATATATGCCTTCTAAATTCTATATGACTGCTCCTAAGACAGGATCCAATTTGAGATTTTCAGGCAGTAAGACCCGATTTGATTGGCTCTGTGACTATGTTACTTTGCAAACTTCCATTTTTTTTTTTTTTTTTTGGGGGGGGGCAGAACTGAGGATTGAACTCGGGCCCTTGCGCTTGCCTGGGAAGTGCTTATTCCACTGAGCCATCTCCCCAGCCCCCAAACTTCTGTTTTTGAGACAAGGTATGTAGTCTGGGCAGGCCTTGAACTTACTATGTAGCTCAACTTGTCCCTGAACTCACACTCCTCCTGCCTCAGCCTCCTGGATACTGGGATTCCAGGTGTACACCTTCATCCCAGTCTGTGCAAGTTTCTTAATTTTTCTATGATGCCTTATTTCCTTACCTAAGCATGGAGATGATGAAAGTATAGTATCTACTTCTATAGCTACGGTGACTGCCACATGAGAACAAATAAAACACTTAGGACAGTGCCTAACATGAACTGAATGTGCAACAGATGGTGCAGTTTTATCATTTGGAAGGTCTTATACAAGAACATGATCTGGATGTCTAGAACATTAAGTGATTACGCTAAAAACCCTCCAGAGCTATGAAGCTTGAGTTCACTTAGAAGATCAGGAGGGATATTCCCAGTTGGGCAAAGATGGTATCTTTGGAAAGAACACCCAACCCAAGTTTTCCTCTACATGAGAACAACTTTTTGAAATAAAACGGTTTCTACAGGTTTAGGAACTAGATAGATCAATTTAAAGGTCATAGTACAACTGGTGAATAGATGAAAAAGACGTGGCTTTACTTACACAATGGAGAGCAGCCCTGCCACAGAGAAGGGCAAGCTGAGACATTATGAGGCGAGTGGGTACACCTTGCGACCGTGCTCTTTTTTAACAAAATTTATTTATTTAATTTTTTTTAGGTGCAGGGTCTCACTATACAGACCAGACTCATAGTGATCCTCCTGATGTCTGCCTCCCACGTGCTGGGATTACAGGCGTGCGCCACCACCCCGGACTCCATCACTGGCTCAGCGCACCAGGGGGTGGGGCCGGTGCAACCATACTCTTAAAGAAAATAAATCCACACGTGTACACACACGTGTAAATACCATATTGTTTCTCTGGTATGAGAATCAAAAGTAATAAGGACCAAGGTGCATAACCAATTTTGTGAAACAGGAAGAAAATGTTCAAGTGGGGACGAGAACAAGAAGGGGGAGGGGGAAAAGAAAAAGTAAAAAAAAAAAAGAATGAGAAAAGAAAGAAAACATGGAAACAAAGCTTTTGTAAATGAAGAGGGGAGGAGGGGCTGAAAGACAGGGAAGTGGGGAAAGAAAAAGAAACAAGTTATATCATGTACAAATGCTCTATGATGAATGTGATTACTATTACTGTGTATATCTAAAATGCAGCAGTAAAATCTGATTAGAAATGCAAGAAAAAAATAAAGATCATAGTGTATTTAGTATACTTACTTGAAATTAGAAGGTAATGGACACACATTTCTCCCCAATACAATAAATAACTTTTTAATGTTATTTTAAAAAGTACGGGGCCGGGGAGATGGCTCAGGAATAAGCGCTTCCCTGGCAAGTGCAAGGGCCTGAGTTCAATCCCCGGATCCACCAAAACAAAAAAAACAAAAAAAGTATGTCTAAATGAAAGGTATTTCAGAATGCTTGTCACTTATAATGTAATGACCTAAAACAAGTAGATGCAGAAAGGGCAGGAGAACTGGGTTCACTTTAGGAACCCCAAAGTATTACTTCATGCTGCAAAACGAAGAGCTATTAAATCTCTGCTCAAAAGATGTGACCTACACGACAGGCGCCTCAAAGCGTGATGTAACACCAAGGAGTCACTGTCTTCTCCTTCTCCAAATCCTAAGTGCAAGAAATCAGATGTTCTGAGTCTTTACAGTGCATTAAAAAAATACCCAAGATGTTTGCTAAAAATGCTTATCTTCACTATATTTCCTCATACTTAGGAAAATGGAAGCTCTTGAGCAGTAATTCTCATACAGGTCATCTAAGGACCACACTTGGAGAAAAAGTGACCTTGTTCAGAACGTTTCTTCTCGATGTTTCCTACTTGTACATACAGAAGAGCGTGCGATTACCTCATCATTGAGCCAGTTCAGATGGTTTAGGGTCTGGATATCTTTGCGCGTGATGGTCAAGCGGAATGCTTCGCTGAGAACTTCATCTTGGTTTCCATTACGAAACACATTCTTTATTTCTTTCTCCATTTCCTACAAAAACAAATGGTATCAGAGAACACATGGCTTCAGAAAAATGAGATTTCTCCTCAATTTATTATTAATCAACTGCTTATCAATGTGCCACTGATCACACTCCTAGCTAACACTTTGGTGTTGTCTCCACCACCTTCCCCATTACTTCTGCTCCCGCCTGCTTCTCCCTTCTCTTTGCCAGCACCACATTCAGATCTTTGTTTCCTATTAGGCCTAAGGTCTGACCTAGCCCTGTATAACCTTTGCTAACAAACTTCCTAAGCCTATGGCAAGATCTCCTTTTATATGTCTGGCCCAACTGATTTGCTAAGAAATAGGAGCTTCCACAAAAGGAAGTAACAGAGTAAAGGTTTAGACACTATTTTTCTAGGACAAGTATTCATTTTGCTTTTAAAAATGTAAAATATGGAATCCAGCACAACTATAACTATAAATGTAACACTCACCAGCTACCTGACAGGACTTTACAATTTTGTTTACTTGGTTGGGATGGAACCCTGGGCTTGTACATATAAGGCACACACGTGCTCTACCACCTAGCTATATGCCAACACTAAGAGTTGTTCAAAAACACATATAAATGAGCAGATTTTAAAAATGTACATAGTCTATAATGTATTTTCCAAACTTTCTACAGTACGTTTTTGTTACTTAAAAATAACAAGAGCTCAAAATTTGATACTAAATTATTGCATAAATAGATCTAAAGGTGTAGTTCAGTGGTAGAAGCTCTTGTATAATTTGTGTGAGGCCCTAAGTTTGTGTCCCAGTGCCAGAAATAAAAATGAAAAAAAAAAAAAAAATCCCAAAACAAAACCACACGGACAGAGAGTCTATCTATACCAAGTAAAAATGCACATGAAGTAAAATATGAATTTGTAACAAATGCACAGAAGTTGCTAAAAGCTACTCATAATTCTTTCATCAATTTTCAATAATCCTTTAAAAAAAAAGGCCTAGTATACAATATAAACAGAAATAGAAATATTCAATAAAATTTATTTTTTTTTAAAGAAAAGGAAGTGACTATGAATTTTAATTATAAGGGTAAAATGCAAGCCTGATTATTTGCATACTAATCCACACACAAGAAAATGCCTAAATATTACAAGTTGTTTAAGAAAACATTTGATGTAGTTATCTGTAACTGGGCAACAGAGAACATGCTACATGTGTTAACTATATAGATTAGTATTCTACAAATTATAGAACAAATTATACTTTTCTAGAAAATAGAGCAACCAATGTATTTTTTCTAATGCTCAGTTTTACATGAAATGGGCAAAAGTTTGAAAGTAAGGTCTACATCTTACCCCATGAACTTAAGAATGTATGCTGACATTACTAATTGCAATTATAGTTTTCAAATAATCTCTGTACCCTGACCTTTTATCAGTATTTCTAAGTTGCTAATGTCTCTGGAATTCTTGGGTTTAGAAGCATTTCAAAAATTGTTTCAGTAGCAATTTTAATTGAATCGACTGTGATGCTATTTCAACCGTTGAAAGCAGGCTTCAATCAAATTTAAATACTAGGTATCCTATTGCTTTATGCTTGAAACTGTCCCAAGTATTCTTTTTTTTTGGTGGAACCGGGATTGAACTCAGGCCCTTGTGCTTGCCAGGAAAGCGCTTATTCCACTGAGCCATCTCCCCGGCCCCCCAAGTATTCTGTATAAACATAACTGCTAGTAAAAGAATTTATAGTGTGAAGGGCCGGCGAGATAGCTCAGCAGACTAAGCGCCTGCTTAGGCAAGCGCAGGGACTGGAGCTCGACCCGTCACCACCTGCCATGCACTGAGCCGGCCATAGAGACCAGGGGTGGTGGCCCACATCTGTAATTCCAGCACTGGGAAGGCTGAAAACAGGAAGATCATGATGAACCCGAACTGTGTAGTGAGGTCTTGTACCAAATGCATTAAAAAAAGAGAGAGTGAGAGAGAGAATTTATAGTATGAACTTTACCTCTGTAATTTCAGGAAAATCATCTTCACTATCAGGTAACTTATGACTTTTTTTTTCTGTTTCTTGGGCGATTGTAACAGGGATCTCCTTTTCAAGGGGTACACGAAGATGCAGTTCTACGGAATCATGTACTGAATGTTCTTGTTCCTGTAATCTCTGGAAGACAAAACTTCAAAATAAGTGGGATAAAATGCAGAAATCTCTCTGACTTCTGTATTATCCTGAGTCATTTGAGCTGGGCAAACCAAGAGCATAAACCACTTACAACAAAATGCTGAGACACATGGCCCTGCAAGCCCAGCAGCAGGCACCAGAAGCCAGACAACCTTCCAACACAGCCCTGACTTGAATGCACTATTTACAACCTCCTCTCAGTATTTTTACCTGGTTTTGAAGTTGCAAAGCTAGTGCCTTTTGCTCCTCGATCTGGCGCAATCTTTCCCGTGCTCGAGAATCGTAGACACTAGTTCTAGAAAATAAAGAGTGACACGTGTAGACCACCTCGTAGCACCACGCGTGCTGCTGACACGTGGTGTTGCACTTGGGCTGCGCACGCACAGTCCCGCCCCGCGCCCTAACTCACACCTCACCACATCTCTGTGAGGACATACAACTACCACTATGCACCACTCTAGCACAGACCACCCGAGCACCTCACTGTGCTGCTGAACGCGGGTGGCTGCTTCTGCAGACATCTGTGACTACGCAGCGCTTGTTTAAACGTGCTTCTAAGGCTCTGATGAGAGCGAAGCCTCGTCTGGAAATGCCAAACAGACTACAGCACAGGAGAGAAACTACTGGAGTAGGGAGGCTTTAAATTATGTTTCTGATGGTTTATTTGTTAAAAAGTCATAATGACCCAGGGATCTAGAAAGTTAGAAGTACAAAAACATGAGCTGGAAGCGATATCCTTTCAGTGATTTTGCAAACTCTAAAATTATTCAATAAATTAGTTTTACTCATACCAAAGTTAAGGATGGACACACACACACACACACACACACACATATATTTATATAATTATTTATAATGTATATATATATATATATAATATTACACACATATATTTTGTTTCTTGGGACAGGGCCTTGCTACTCAGTTTGTGCTGGCCTTGTGCTCAGTTTTATAGCCCCCAGGCTGATCTCAAACTTGCAGCAATCCTCTTGTCTCAACCTCCTAAGTGCTGGGATTTATAGGCATGTACCACCACACCTGGTATTTCTCTTTCCTTTTAAAAATTAATTAATCTATTTACTTGGTACAGGGTCTCGCTACACAGTTTGGACTCAGTGATCCTCCTGTCTCAGCTTCCCCAGTGCTGGGATTATAGGCCTGGGCCACCACGTCCAGTTTTGGTGGCTGACTCGGTGCCCTGGGCCTACACAGCATGTGGTACCAGGGATAAAACTCAGCTCCTTGTGCTTGCCAGGCAGGCACTTAAGACTACTCAGCTATCTCCCCAGCCCTTTTTCTTTATATAAATACCTAACTTTGAAATATTTTTCAATTCAGTTTAGCCTCAACAATTTTTATGAAGTTAAATAAACACAAAAGCAGTAATATCCCAAATTCACCACTTGACAGTTTTCCCAGCACCAATCAGGCAGCGCACCTGGCTGCGTACTGACTGCCCTAAGCAATGTTCAGGCAGGTGTCACTTGGACCCATCGATTCTTGTACTGAATAAACTTGATAATATTTATCATTTCTTATATTTACCGTTTTACTATCTTATAAAGCTTAACCAAAAATACAACATTTTGTCACTTTCTATTTAAACAACTGGACTGGTAAGTTGTTAAAAATTCAGTAACTTAAGACTACAAATAGGTAATTCTTATTAACTAGAAGGAAGCAGGACAATTAGTTAATTGTTTCATTTTGTGTAAGTGACAATGAAATTACTATAAAGGAAAAATAACATTAAAAATAAGTGACTTACAATTCTTTGATCCATAGCTCTGCCTGGAAGAAAGTAGGACTATGGGTGGAAAAAGAAAAGTGAGCAGGTTTATGAGTAATGCAAGTACTTTTACTAACAAAAGCATTCATTTACAGTCTTTAAGAACACTCTGCAATGAGGTAATAACTAGCTACCTAATGATTGCACCTGAGTGTGAAATGACACCAATGTTGTTATCGGCATATGTTAAACAGACACCTCAAGCACAACAGAAGAGTTTGGCATAGCTTCCTTCCTTGCATGAAAGAACACTGTGTGAGGAAGTGTATCACTTCTCCAGGTGCTAGGCCACAACAGTGACGGCGAGCCTTTTAGGGACCGGGCGTCCACACTGCATCCCCAAACCACCTACCACAAAGTGCCAGTGCTGCACTTAAACCTGAATATCTGATGCCTGGCTTCGGGGCGTCTGGCTCCTGTGCTGACAGAGGGCTCTGTGTGCAGCTGTGGCAGACACGCAGAGGTTCACCACCACAATGCTTCTCTTTCCAAAGGGTTTGTGCTGGTGGACGTATGAATCTAACCAGGTACTATGGATTCTTAAGATTTCTCATCAGTCTGACTCAAAACATTTAAAACCAAATCATAGTAGATACCAAAGAACCCTACTCAAAATATTCCATGATCAAATGGCTACTGAGCCAAAGGAGAAAAATGGCAACAGTCCATTCCCTCCCACCTGGCCCTCCTGACAACCCAAAGGAGTGATGACTAGCAGGGTCACTGTCCTAAAGCTTCTTGTTCTTCTCAACTTTTTCATCTCTTTGCAAATCTGAGAAACCTGTCACAGAAGCCAGTGGAAGGGCAAAGACTTTTCCAAAGGACACTTTAGATACACAGGACAAATAAAAAGTGCCAAATTGTGAGCTAACAGACCTAGATCTCCTGGAGTGGTCCCCAGCTAGTCGCAGACGCTGGAGCACAGTGTCTCATGCTAGGGGCCTGCTTTCAAGACCTGTTAAGTATGGTAGACTAGTCTGTGTTCTTCAACCTCTATAATTTCACCTAGCATGGCATGAACAAGGGCTCACGGGATACCCCTTGCTCTTCAGCCTAACTTTTGAAAATCAGTATTCTCAATCATTCTTGGGCTGCAAACTGCTGGGGGAAATGCTATTCCACTGCCTCTCCACTGGTGCTAGGATTAACAAGGGTATATCCCCCCCGCCCAAAGAATACTGGGCTAACAGTGAAGTCAGAGACCACAGAGATCAGTGGTAGCACTGTGAAGGCTGTTTAATATGTAATACCAAAAGCAAAAGTAAGGTGACATTTATTACATGACGTAAAGATGTGACAAAAAATAAAACATAATTTTATATCATATTATTCAAATGTCTACTTCTTTATTAAAGTATAAATCTGATGAGGACAGAAACTTTTGTCTATTCTATAAACTAAAATAACCCATTGAGTAGGCATTTAGTATCAGTTGAATAAATGAATACAGTTGGGGCAAGCACTTTCTCTTCAAAGGCTTGAAGAACCTGCTGGCCTGAGCAAGCCGAATGGAGGGCAAATCTACTTTCTGCAGAGATCACCTCTATTCCAAATAATAGCTGCACTAAGAATAACTACCACTTTCTCAAGTGCCTACTTAAAGATTTGTATGTGCAACCCTACTGTTTTTGTAGTAGTTTAGCCTCATGATAACACCGTTTTTATTTAATACTCAGCAGAATATATAGCAAGCGATTGTTTACTCATGTAGATGAGAAAACTGAAGTTCTGCAGGGTAGTGTCTTGGAATAGCCAGGATTACAGATTTTACCTGTTCAATCCCACAGACTGTGTTCTACTAGTGTTAAAATACCCTTCAGCAAACCAGTACATTAAACAGAAAGGGGAAAAAATGAGTACTTGGAACACTGAAGAGAGTATTTTGGACTCTAAGAATTCATGTGCTTGGCAAGGATTTATTTTATTAAACGTCTATCACATGTCAGGAATGATGCCCAGCAGGGGTGGGGTGTGAAGGGGAGGGGAGTGCAAATGCACCAGCAACAAAGACCAGGACAGGGAGAGACTAACGGTACCTGGAAAAGACAGAGAAATCTTTTGAGGAAAAAATAACTGGATAAGATTTTGAAGAGCAAAGTAAAGAGTTCATCAAGTAAACAGGGAGAAAAAGAGAATTCTAAGCATAAGGATCAGTATATATAAAGATAAGCAGGTATGAAACATTACGTTATACTCCAAGAAAAAGCTGCGAATCTTCACTGCAGGAACCTAAGTGAGAGGCAGTGGCAGGAAATTGAGGGTGGAAAGTTAATCAGCCATGGTTCGGGGTCTAAGGCCCTAAATTCAATAAAGAGCACTATTTAACCACTCCTGCTTATTCAGCAGGCCCTTTCTCAACTCATTCTTCAGCCATCACTAAGAGAAACCTTCCTTTAAGTAAATGAGATTTACAGAACAAGGAGAAAACTGAGAATATTCTTTTTATCTGATATCAACTTTCTACCCAGAAAGAAAGCCTACATCTTTATACATTATGTGCAACACCTTCAAGTATTTTACCTGGAAGTCATTCTTCACAACACTTCAACAGTGAGGGATTCATGCTGACATTTTATTAAAAGTACAGAGAGCGTCAAAAGAACATGAAGCTTGAAAAGGCCAAGAGGACAATCTAGACCTGACTCCAAAGAGTACGTAAGAAATAAGAGTCCACATTGTAAAGTCCGCCTGAGGGAAGTTAACAAATACAGATCCTAAAGAATTCCTAAAGCCTAGGAGAGCTGCAAAGTGGCGGTGGAACTAAGATGAAGAAGAACTGCAGCTGTCCCATCTTCTCCACACAAAGCTGACACCGATATTCCAGGAACTGAACTGCCATGCCACGCACAGCGAGGCACCGTGGCTTACTCAGTGACTACCAGATCACGGAGAAGTAAGCACTTGACACCGTGAGCCCACCAAGAGAAGTTTCACGTAGAAGGTTACATGGGAATGGAGCTTAAAAAAGCTACGAGACTCCTGCCAGAGAGAAGCTGAGAGAAAGAGGACACTCTAGGGAGAAGGAGCAAACACATAATGTGAACGCAAAAATAAATGTATCATATTTACAAACTAACAGAGTAGCACGCACGTGTCCTACCTCTATGGTACGTGGCTTTTCTCTCACTTCCACCATCTCTCTGTCCCACTGGCACTTTCTCAAGACTTGCCTGCCGATTCCCCTAAATAGTGTTCCCTCAGTCTACGCGACACATTATCCTGGTTTACTTCTCTTCGCTGCATTTATCACCACCAAGCACGTTTCTTTGCTTGCTACTGGGCCTGACCATTCCTCGTGATCGAATTACAGGTCCTTGAGAGCAGAGTGTTCATCTGTTCCTTGCCATTATCCCCAAATATCTACGACACTACCTAGCAAACAGCGGCCCTCAATAAATACTTTGTAGCTGAAGAGTTCCTGTGCGACAGGAGGTGTGGCTTGTGGGACAAGTGCTCTGCGCACCAGACTAAGGAGCTGTGGGCTTAATGCTGTTCTGATAAGCCGTGCTTAAAGGAGTTCAATATGTGGTCATCAAATTCCTCTGAGAGCAACCAGACATACACTTGAGATCATTTTAATTGCAGTGTGGAAGACAGACTCAAGTACAGGCAGAAGAATGAATTAGAGAACACAGTATGGTGGAAGATGGAATGAAGAACAAAATGAGGGCTAGAGGAAAGGGGATAGACTGGAAAGTCACTGAAATATTTCAAATAATGCATGAGAGAAGTCTCAAGGCAATTTCATATCGTGTAACTCTTAATGAAAGAAATTGTGATTAAAGAAAAGGAAACAATATGTTAAGAATGACCTTTTTCCTAAGTTTACCTGGGAGTTGGAGTCTGAGAATCTTTCACTTTGAGTAAAATCACAGAGTCTGATCCTAAACAAAGAAACACAAGAGCATTTCATTATTAATAAAATTCTACCCAGTTATGTTTTCTAGAAGTCTTAGCTTAACTTCCTAACTTTGCTATGTTCTAGTTCCATAAAAATAATATATCTTAAGGACAAAGACAAGATGGAAGAGAAAAAGAGGTAGGTCCACTTTTATTGAGACAAGAAGTCGTCTCAGTGAAGAGCTTGCCTCGGACAGGAGGACCTCATTCTGACGCCCAGGCGGGTCTGCCCTTCGGCACCGCGCCCACACCTAGGCTGCGCGCTCCCTGGGCTCTGCTTCTCGGGAGGAAGAGCCTGCCAGGACTTCCTGCAGGGCTGGCGTCCATGGTGCACCGTGGCACTGAGTTAAGTGAAGGAAGGGAAAGCGAAAGGGGAGGGGCGGAGAGGAGGGCAGGGACCGAGAGCAGCACTGCCGGAGGGCCTACCGAGCACCATTTCATCATCCTATCACCTGTTCTTTTGTGCTAACTACTCACCAAGAGCAGAAACAGGCCCTTCTAAAGTGCATCATAAGACTCTCATTTAAAGTACTTGCTAAAGCACACAAGCAAAGGAACAGTACGAGGGAGCACACTCACCCCAGCCTAGTAGCTGGATCTAAGTACCTGCCACAAGGTATTTTCTGAAGCTAATGGGTTCTTTCGGCATTGTAAAAAATGAGTTTCTAGTGAATCACTTCAAAAAATGTAGTACAAGTTTTTAGAGATACGTGTAGCTATAATGATGCCAACTTGGTGATGCCACCAAGAATTTTAATCTTCAAATGAGCATTTTCAAAAAATGATGATTAAAAAAGCGAAGTGAGGAAGCCAGCCTTCAGCAACTGGTGCTCAACACATCAAAGAGATCCCTGTATTTAATCACTTAGTCTACAAAATGTTCGAATTTAATTACATACATATGGAATGAATTGCCAAAAAAATTGGGACAACTATTATAGCAAAACTTTAAACAACATCAATATTAAGAGGCTGAATATGCTTATCAGTTTAAAGTTAATAGAAAACAGTTTCCAAAATTTGATTACAATCATTCCCAAATGCATAAAGCTTTAATACGGGTTTAATCATATCACATGGCAAATAGTTATACTTTAGTATTTATTTTTTTTTTTTTTGGGAACCAGGGATTAAACTCAGGCCCTTGCGCTTGCCAGGGAAGCGCTTATTCCACTGAGCCATCTCCCCTGCCCCTAAAATGGCAGAAGGATTTTTTTTTTTTTTTTTTTGTGACGAATAACTTCAGGGCAGATTTGGCTGGCTTGAGTTGTGGGGATCGAACCACAGCAACCTGAGCCTGACTGCTTTGTTGAACTCAGCTAAGGGGCAGGCCCCCTAGTATTTATTTCTTAAAGTTCCTGTAACTGTTGAGTACTTCATGATAAAGAGAAGCACAGATTGCTAAACTGAGTTGAATACAGTCTGAACTGAGGCTCTGTACAGGAAGTTACTCATATGAATAAAATATTTTATCAAATCACTTGCATCTTACCCAGGTATGGTGGTGTATACTTGGGGTGGTGAGGCAAGAGGATGGCAAGTTTGGGCCTAGCCTAATAAGCTTAGCAATTCAGGAAGATCCTGCTCAAATATAAGATAAAAGGGCTGGGGTATGTCACCACTCAGTATAAAAGTCTTGCAGTTAGCCCTGAGTACTACCAAAAAAAAAAAAAAAAAAAAGTATCTTGACATAGGTAAAACAGAGTATTTTTTTAAAAAGGAAGAAAGATCTGGGCTAGGGAGATAGCTCAGCAGTCTAAGCGCCTGCCTGGCGAGTGCAATGACCCGGGTTCAATCCCTGGTACTGCATGCTGTGCACAGTGCTGGCCAATGAAACTGGAAGTGGTGGCGCACACCTGTAATCCCAGTGCTGGGGAAGCTGAGACGGGAAGAGCACTACGAGTCCCAGCTGCGCGGTGTGACACTAAACCAAATACATACATAAAAGAGAAAGAAGCTCTTCTTTATAGGTTGGTTTTCCTCACAGCACAGTTAACAATTATATGAAGTTTTATATATGTTAATTAAATTATATGTACATTACAGTGTTGTCTTTAATAAAGTTAATTTGCTGTTAGGATTAAAAATAGTTATTTTCATATTTACCTTCAGATTGTGTGTTCGATGCTGTTAAGTTATCTGGCTGATGTGGAAGAGAAGGGTGGTGCTGGGACTGATGGCAAGGATCATAATCTTTGGATCCAAATGCAATCTCCGGAGCACACAACGACGGGGAACATGTGCTATGGGACAGAGGTTCTTGGGGAGTTAAGATGCTGGCCGATCCAGGTGATGGAGTATCAGAGCCAATGATATGAGATGTACAAGAGTTTCCATTTTTAAACAATGAGTCTTTCAAAGTATCCTTACTGGAACTAAGACATCGAGACCTACAGTGAGAAGGACATAGTGTCAATATCAAATAACAAAAAAATTGTAAAATTTAATTCAGCTGAAAGATACTTCTGTGACTCACAGGTGTAAAGGAAAATGTGTGGTAGGTTTGGCTACAGAGAACTGCTTCCCTGTGACCATCTGTAGCAGCTGTCTATAGATCTCTCTTTCTTCTTCTTGAACTGTCTGTAAGAGGGAAAAAAAGATCTTAAACATATGCAATGAGGCACATATTCCATGAAGTAGACTAGATGAGATCTCAGAAGCTCTATCAAGCTCAGGCAGAGTCCTAATGATAATTAACAACCTTAGGATATTCCAGAAAATTATTCAGTGTCATTGTTAAATATGTATAAGAGGAGTGGAATAAATTCCAGAGTACAGTTTCTGTCCCACTTTTTTGTGAAATGGGGGTCTCATTATGCAGGTCAGTCTGGCTGTAGACTCACTGAGCAGCCCAGCTGATCTTGAACTCACAGTGATCCTCCTGCCTCAGCTTCCTGAGTGCTGGGATTCCAGGCATGCACCACTACGTCCAGCTCGAGAGCATGTTTTATAAACTATGAAAGATATACATAAACAATAGTACAGAGAAGCTAAGCCTATGAAACCAAAAGACAATCAGTTTTTAAGTCAAATGATAGAGTTCCAAAAGTAAAGCTTAAAAAAAAAAAAAAAAAAAGGGGGCCAGGGAGATGGCTCAGTGGAATAAGTGCTTGCCAAGGAAGTACTTATTCTACTCAGCCATCTCACCAGCCTCAAGAAAAGTAAAACATTTGAGGACTTCCAAATTAAGATTTTAACAAAACTCTTGAGACCTGGTTCCTGTTGGAAAGATTACAAGGAAGTAGCCAGAACAGTCAAGGTCAGTGAGAGGCTGTCTCTATGACATTTTCCTATTCTACACATCATACCCACACTGTTCAAGTGTGGGTATTTTTCAGGGACGTTTTCTTTTTCAACACTATCTTTTTTTCTGTATACAAACTATGTATACAGAATGTATTTTACCAATATATACTATGCAACATTCATTCACTGACTTGAACATCTACTATATTCCAGGCATTAAAGATAATATGTTCAATAAAATTTTTGTCTTTTATATTATAGATAAAGGGATGACAAAAAAACTAGCTGAGTGGGCCAGTGAAATAGCTCAGCGGTCAAAGCACCTGCTTAGGCAAGCACAGGGAGCAGAGTTTGGTCCCCAGTACCACAGCTGCACCAGCCCAGCCCTTGGGTGCACCTAGCTGGTCACTGATTTCAGGTGCGGTGGTCCATACCTGTAATCCCAGCACTGGGGAGGCTGAAAACAGGAGGATCACTAAGAGTCTGAGCTTTGTAGTGAGACCTTGTGCCAAATACTTAAAAAAAATTAAAAAGGGCTGGAATAAAAGCTCCGAGTTTAATCTCAATACAATCCATCCTGGAAAATCTGTGAGATTCCTGTTCCATGATAAAGCTGAACTGTAAGACTATAAAAATTTAAGAAGAGTCTTAGTGAATTTTTAGCAAATGAACTGTTATGAATTATTTAAACAGCATAATCTCCCTTTCTTTTTGCTTAATGGCTTTATAACAAATTTCAAGTATATAATTCAGTAATTTTCTATCAAGTTCAAAATGCTTGGTCTATGACAAAACTGTAATGCACTGAAGAAAAACAGGAATAAAACCACCATACTTTAAATGTTTCTTTTTATTATTACCATTTTTTTGTATTTTAGGAAGGTATTCAGGGTCTCACTAGTAGACTGGAATCATAGTGATATTCCTGTTTACAGCCTCCCAAGAGCTGGGATTACAGGCATGCACCACCATGTCCAGTCTCAAATGCTGTCCCAGCACGCCCGGGAAGCAAGGCTGGCACAGCAGGCCTGGGGCTCAAACCCCAGGACCCTGTGTCTGCTTGCAGGCGCTTTAATCTGCTGAGCTATTTGGCTGGCCCTTAACTGATGTTTAATAGGCTCCAGAGAATCATGTCTGGAAGCAACATATAAGGAACAAAAACTGCTTTTGTTTTATCATCCACAATTTTACTACCATTCGTGTGTCTTCTTTCCCAAGCAGAAGTGCACATCTCCTGTAACAGCACCACCTAACAGAGACCTCTGTGATGCTAGGATGTTCTGTATCTGAATCATCTGACACGGCAACCACCAGCCACATGTAGTAAAGAATACCTCAGGCATGACTAGTGTAGAAACCAAAGCTTTCGTTTTATTTAAATAATGCTTGTGGCCAGGTCACACAGGTCAGTGTTGCCTTTGAGTGAGCCATCTATCCAGGTGCACCTTGCATACTTCCAAATTCTTTCAAACCCATTATAAGACAATGTGTAGAGGTAGCACCATCTTGAATGATTTTTTTTTTCTCTGAATGCCTTCAGGGCAGATTTGGCTGGCTGGAGTTGTGGGGATCAAACCACAGCAACCTGAGCCTGACTGCTTTGTGGAAGCAGCCACTTAAAGAACTGAGCTAAGGGACAGGCCCCCAACCATCTTAATGTTAATTTTATAGATAGTTCCATACTCCTGAAGTTAATAAACAAATCTAGGATTAAAATTAACAGCTAACTTCCTTAGATATTATACAGCAAATTCATTTCTCTTGGAGATCCCAACATTACAAGGGATTGCAAGTGCCCATCAATAGTACTACAGAAAAAAGTGTTATTTTCTGCACTACCTATAATATACACATTAAACTACCTAAATAATCTGTTCAAAGTTTGGTAATAAACTTAAGTTTCAATATTTTCTTCTACTGATATGGGTTATTCTGTTAAACACATGGCTTGCTTTATATGGAAAGAAAATACAGACCAGAAAACTAAGGCAAAATTTCCTGTACTTTGTTTCATAGCTTCAAGTCAATGTGCAGCATCTTTGCCCTGTAGGAAGAAGGGGAACTCCACCTCCACGTCCTCCACTGACCTAGCGTGTGGCTGGGAGGACTGGGTAAAGGAGGGACATAGTCAGTTCCCTCTAGTCCCAAGGGCAGGGACAGAGGTGAAAGGCAGGCAGGATGGGGTGGTCCAAGAAAGGAGCTGGTAAGAGAGCGCAGTTTACAATGAACACATGCAGACAGAAGGATCTGGTGTATGAGTTATTTCCCCATCACTGGGACAAAATAGCTGACACTTGCAATTGAAAGGAGATGTTTACTTAGGTGCAGAGTTTTAGAGAAGTCAGCCCCTGGCTGGTTGGCTCCAGCGAGTAGAACAGGGAAATAATGCCACAACAAGGGGCAAGGGACCAGTCAGACCTCAAACTACATCCCCACAGCCCCCCCACCCAAACACACACACACATGCTCCTCACCAATGCAGGGGGGGAGGGTGCTCCCAAAACAAATCAACTTCAAACTCCACCCTCACCTAACTCCCAAAGCAAATCAACTTCAAACTCCACCCTCACCTACCACAGTGGGAATCCTAGGAAGTCACCTGCAAAAGGGCAGAGTGGGACAGCCTATTCCCAGCTGCTATGCTGCTGTACTGTCTTGTTTTAAATAATTTTTTTTTTTTTTTTGCGGAACGAGGGATTGAACTCAGGCCCTTGAGCTTGCCAGGCAAGCGCTTATTCTACTGAACCGTCTTCCTGGCCCCATAAAGAATTTTTTAAAAAATATTTATTTGGGAATGGGCATCCAAAATTAACAGACATTTCTCAGATGAAGGAGACACAGCAAATAAATACCGGAAAAAGTGTTCAACATCACTGGTCATTTGGGAGATGCAAACAGAAACAACACTGAGATCCCATCTCACTCCAGAAAGAATGGTTATTATCAAGAAATCAACCAATAACAATGCAAGTGAAACTGAGGAGGAAAAGGAACACTTCTCCACTGTTGGTGAGAAGGTACACTGGTGCAACCACTGTGGAAATCAGTGTGGAGATTTTTCAAAAAAACTCAGCTAGAGGCTTCATTCGACCCAGCTATTCCTCTTCTTGGTATCTTCCTGAAAGAGCTAACAGCCTCACACCACACTGATGCATGCACACCCACGTTTATAGCAGCCCTGTTCGTAATCGCTGAATCTTAGAAACAGTCCAAGTGTCTATCAACTGATAAATCAATAAAGATTTTTTATATGAAGGAAAAAAAAATAAAAAGAGTGGAATAATAAAAAAAATACTTTGAAAGTAGGATATAGAATTTTGGAGAAAATAATTTTGATGGATAAAAGTTTGAAGTATTTCATTGTTTGGTACACATGAAATATTCAAAATACCTTGTTTAAAAATTTAAAAAAATATTTATTTGGTACAGGGTCTTGCTACACAGCTCAGACATGTAGAGATCCTCCTGTCTCAGCCTCCCCAGTGTTGGGATTATAGGCATGTGCCACCACGCCCGGTCTAGGGGCCAGCATGGCATGCAGTACTGAGGATTGAACTCGGGTCCTTGTGCTTGTCAGGCAGGTGCTTAGCTGCCAAGCTAACTCCCCAGCCCTTTTTTTCTTTTAAAGAT